ATTCACCTAGTAAGAAGCTGTCTTCGGGGTCCTCCTAGCCATTAGTCCAATCGAGATTGATGTGGTCAAAAAACCATTGAGAACCGTCGTCATTAGTATTCTCTTCTGTGATTGGAAATGCAAGTGAATTTGCGTTTCCACCGGATGTCGCGATGCCCATGAAGCTTTGCTCGATTGGCCTTTGTTCACTTACGAAACCCCTAATATGGAATACTGGTTGTGCACTGATTGCTAAGCACGGTTGAGATGCCAACGTGAAGGATTCCCCCTCTGAACCTGTGCAATACCATGGTTGCCGATCAACATGAGGACCCACAAAGGGAGACATTGCTTCCGATGGTTCCATGTTGATGTCTTGGTGAGGCACATCGATGTTGCGGTTGAAGTCGGAAGATTCGTTGAGTCGGTGATCTTCTCGAGTTCTAACGGGCATGCTTAGGAAAATCGTAGTGCCTTGTTTTTCCCTGCTTTCTTCCTTCTTGAATCGGATTTTACATAGAACAATCTGCAATTTACATACCAAACGAAACACTAAGGTATTAAGAAATTTATGATTTTTTTCTATCAAATAAAGCAGGGAGAATAGGATCTAAACGGATTATATGAGTGCATTCTGCTAAACATGGCTTTCAAAGAATTTAAAACGAGAAAACAAAAAGATGACCAAATTGGCTTTCACGATTTACTCACCTGATGAAACCCTAGGATAGAGAAACGGCACTATTATGATTCTACGGGTACAATAGCGTACGCAATATTATAAGAATAATTCTAACATGACAAAGACTAAGATATATTGGTTATACAAATATATTACGGTTCACTTGGCTTTGAAAATTGAATCCAAAAAGAAAATAATCAGCTTTCTGGATTTTATTAGCATTAGGAACCCGAATATCTTATGTAAAATAACGAAACTGTTGTAATGGAAGAACTTCCACCAAGTTTCGAAGGTTCATTAGAGGCACTCATACGGTACGTAGAGACAAGGTAGACGTACATGGCAATAAATTAACGAAGGTAGAAACAAGAGAATTTGACTCACTTCTTGCTTAAGCATGGAGTACTCGTGCATGATCCAAGATCCCTTTGCTGCGTTTTCGCATTCGAAAGACGAGCCGTCTTTCGCTTTAAAGTTGAAGTGCTTCTTGTGGCCGACGATATTGCCCTGATGATCTTCGATGTCGGTGGTTTTCACCCCCTTCCAGAATCCCGACCCCGCCGTCCTTTCCGCTCTGGACTTCTTCATCTTGATCTTGGTGAAGACGTACAAGCTCCTGTCCGCGTTCTCGTCGAAGAACTTCCACGGTTCCTTCTCGTACACGTCGAACTCGGGTATGAATCCGGAAAACGATAAATCCCCTCTCACCCTATGCGCAAGGTAATAGAAGAAGAGTTGTTCGTCGGACGGAGAAAACCGATAACCGATGGGGAGCGTATCGGCCATGTTTCCACGCTCTTTCTCTCTGACCAGCTATCTGAGAGTCTTCAATTCGTGGGGGATGATCTTATGTTGCTCTCTAAAAGACTTCTTTCTTTTTTTCTTCTGATCTAATGCTTTCTCTCACGAACTATATAGCCACATCGAAGGTGACGATAATGCATAATTGCCGCTGGAGATAATTTCGGAATATGAAAAATAATGTGCTTTTTTTAGTGTAACGATCAACTAAACTAACTTGTATGCAATTTAAATGAACAATAGAAGTGAGGAAAACAGTTAAATATCCCCAAAGTTCAGGTTGGATCTTATCTTCCCCAAACACGCGCCGTCCTTCCGCTTGGAGACCAATCCTTACATGATCACCAATTGCGTTTAAACTTTAACGTTACGTTCTAGTAACTGATTTGCCGACTTTTATTTATACAATATGGAATGAATGCGAAAATCAACTGTCGTCCATAAATGGGAGTTGAAAACGTTAACAACTTATTAAAATTTTTCAATGCCTAAGTGAATGGTAAATTTTACCACTTACTCTTACATTAAAAAAAAAACATCTTGTCATTACAAGATGAGCTTTCATCTATTGAATAAAAATTATGATTTTTTTTTCATTCTTTCTCCGCTAGTTGCAGGGCTTTGGAGGTGGCCGGTGACCAGCTAAAGGCGACGACTGGTGAGGGTTGCCCTCACCAAATCCGGGGAGGTTGAGCCTTGTTACAAGCTAGTGAGGCTTGGTCTTGCCGAGATCAGGTGAGGGGTAACCTCGCCGGGATCGGGAGAGTCTCGCTTTGCTAGATCTGGTGAGGTCGAGCCTCCCCTGAAGTTGGCAAGGTCGCCCCTCATTGGATCCCGGCAAGGGTGACCTTGTTGGTCTTTGCCTGTGGCCGACCGCCAAGCGCCAGCTATAGCTAGGGCCCGACGACTAGTGAAGGAAGATGGAAAAAAAAAGAGAAAAGGAAATGAAAAATATAAAAAAAAATAATGAACTACAGCTGACACCCATGTCAGCTATTTCTAGTCAAAATTGACTGGATTAGCTACATTGACAAAATGTCAAAAGGGTTATGACTCCATTGGTACAATTGAAATGTTTAGGACTGAATTGACATAAGTGCAATAGATTTAAGATTTTTTTGGTGCTTTTCCTAGTGATTCTTAGCTTAGGTTAAATTAGGCCTCTCTTGAGTATTTAACTTTTAACTTTTAAACTTTTCATAATTTTTGTGAAATTCACATTTTGGATTTAATTTAATCCGAGAAATACTTGAAACATTTGGAAATATTCAATTAAGAATGTGAGAAACATCATTAACTTTTTTTGTAACTTATATGCTTAAGTTGCACGTGTCATCTTAGTTCCGGGTGAAATGTAAACCTTTCTTTCCATTTGGAGATAACCATTTACAAATCATTTACCTTTCATTCCAAATGATAACCTGAATTCCTAATGAAAAATTGGGGGCACGAAAGGTTGTTTAACTTCATTCCTTGACCAATAATAACCTTTTGCACATCATTTGACACCCAATTTTCGGTAAATATTCTTAATACATTTACCATTTCTCAAAAATAAAAAAGGAAATCCTTGTGTTGATCAAGAAGATATATTGCAATAAACTATGATCGGTCGATCACTTTTATTTGGTTAAGCTTTATGTTTTATGGGGAAATATATGAATTACCTAAGAGATTTCGACCCAGTGAATCGTGATATGCACAAGATGCAATTTAGTGAAATTAAATGACATTATTTTGGATGAAAAATCATCTAATGAGACATTGATGGAGAGCAAATGTGTCACATTGGTAAAAGTTTAGGATTTTTTATCTCATAAAAGAAGTTCAGGTAAATGTGTCACGATTGTCATATTTTAGAGTTTTTTTTTTGTAATTTTTTCCCTTTTCTTTTTGGATGGTGGAGTTCAATAATGAGAATGTCTTAGTCGACGAAGGAAGGTAGATTTGCTTGCACACCATCTTTCATTGAGGAATGATGCAGGGGATATAAAAACCAGTTTATAAATTTGATTCATAACTCCACATTTGATTACGTGGGCCAAATTCGAGTACTAAATATGAGTAAATCACATTTTTTTATTATTTTTTTGGAAAACCCCTTTTTGAATCTTTAGTATATTCTTCTTCTTTAAGGTGCATACAACATAAATTATATTCAACATCCATCCAAGTTCAAACTCTCATTCAATAAGCTTACACAATTTAATGCTTAGAATTTGCTGCACAAAGAAAAAATGCAATCATTTTTCTTACGGTTTATATCACGAAAAATCTTAAACTGGTATACCTATGACAAATTTACCCTCCGTTAATTTCCATAAAATTTTGCCATTACAGTTGCAGACGTGGAAAATGCTCGGTGACGTGGCAAGCCACGTGGATGAAGTTGAGTGATGTGGCAAACTACGTGGAGAGCCACGTGAAAATAACTTAGTTTTTTTTCAAAATAATAATAACTCAATTGATGTTTATTCAATTAGCTCATGTTCTCTCTTCATTATAACACAAAAAAAACCCTAGCAACAAATAGGGTTCAGTTCATCTTCTCCGACATTCCCTCCAACAAAGCCCGTTCTTCCCATCGCCATTTCCACCTTGCTGGTCGCGGATTTGGGTTTGTGTCATAGGTTTCATATTGTCGAGGTAGGAAAACGATAGTCCTCTATTTCACGTCGCATTCATGCCTCTATGTTTCCAAGGACCTCCTCTTTTTCTTTTTTGTTGGATCTCTCAGCCATAACACTCTAATCGCTTTATCCTAGTTGCTTCGCTCATTTTTGATTTGTGTCAAACTTGGTCTTATGTTTCTATGTCTTGGCCCTAAATGATTTACTGCTTGGCTGCAAATCTCTTTATACGCTTATGTATTGCTTTTGCTATGTTGGTCATTCGTGTTAGTTCATGCCCTTGTTAGCGTTACATGTCTTTCCAACCTTGAATCATACGTGTCAAAATTTTAACATGAAACTTGCATGTGAATGGTGGTATGATTGACTTGTACACAACATGCCAGATGAAATGCCATAACCTAATTCACTTAAGTGACAACCTTGAATCATACATGTGTCAAAATTTCAACATGAAACTTGCATATGAATGATATGATTGACTTGTACACAACATACCCAATGAAATGCCAAAACCAAATTCACTTAAGTTTGTCACTGATTTCAGGTGTACTTTGAGTGTGATTCTATGTGTCTTATGAGATTTCACCTTTTTGGCTTGTACGTAGAGCTAATCATCAATGAGAGTTAACTATAATAATAATAATAGTGAGGAGGAGGAGAATCGCCGGACTAGGTAGTTTGCCTTTTTATTGAGAACTCTTGATATAAATTCGATCTTGAGGTATAGCATTGAATAATAACATATTGTTTGATGAGAATGTACTGAATGGAGAATGAATAACAATGGAACGGGATACTTTTCAGTGTAATCAACATCAAAATATGTAATTGGGATTCGAATGAAACATGTTAGCACTTATGAATGTTGCAAAATCACATCATCCAATATTCATCGATTGTAAGAGTTAATTCAGTTCTTGCAATGGACTATTTACATATTCTCGTAGATCTTTGCCGAACGATTGCTCGAGTGCTTCTACCATCAAAGGGGCGAACTCTGATGCGGTAACATCACGTGCTAGAGGCCATTCACCTGGTACGAAGATGTCTTCAAGGTCCTCCCAGCCATTTGTCCAATCGAGATTGATGTGGTCAAGAAACCATTGAGAACTGTCATCGTCGTAAGTATTCTCTTCCGTGATTGGAAACGCAGGTGAATTTGCGTTTCCACCGGATGTCGCGATGCCCATGAAGCTTTGCTCGATTGGCCTTCGTTCACTTACGAAACCCCCATTATTGAACACTGGCTGTGCACTGATTGCTAAGCACGGTTGAGATGCCAAAGTCGAGAATTCCCCCTCCGAACCTGTGCAATACCATGGTTGCCGATCAACATGAGGATATGAAAGAGAGACATTGTTTCCGATGGTTCCATGTTGATGTCTTGGTGAGGCACATCGATGTTGCGGTTGAAGTCGGAAGATTCGTTGAGTCGGTGATCTTCTCGGGTTCTGACCGGCATGCTTAGGAAAATCGTAGTGCCTTGTTTTTTGCCGCTTTCTTCCTTCTTGAATCGGATTTTACATAGAACAATCTGCAATTTTACATACCAAAGGAAACACCAAGGCGTTAAGAAATTTATGAATTTTTCCAGCAAATATAGCTGGGAGAATAGTATCTAAACATGTTAGATGAATGCATTATGCTAAACATGGTTTTCAAAGAATTAAAAACGAGAACAAAAAGATGACGAGTTTGGCTTTCACGATTTACTCACCTGATGAAACCCTAGGATATAGAAGCGGCACTATTCTAATTCTACGGGTACACTAGCGTACACAATATTATAAGAATAATTCTAACATGACAAAGGCTAAGATATATTGATTGTACAAATATATTATGATTCACTTGGCTTTCAAAATTTAAATCTAAAAAGAAAATAATTAGCTTTCTGAATATCTTATGTAAAATAACTAAATTGTTGTAATGGAAAAAGTTCCACCAAGATTCAAAGGTTCATCAGAGGCACCCATACAGTACGTAGACTATCGTCTCTAACAGCCAGCAATTAACTGGAAAACATAAGGTAGGCTTACATCGCAATAAATAAAAGATGGTAGAGCAAGAGAATTCGACTCACTTCTTGTTTAAGCATGGAGTACTCGTGCATGATCCAAGATCCCTTTGCTGCGTTTTCGCGTTCGAAAGACGAGCCGTCTTTCACTTTAAAGTTGAAGTGCTTCTTGTGGCCGACGATATTGCCCTGATGATCTTCGATGTCGGTGGTTTTCACCCCCTTCCAGAACCCCGACCCCGCCGTCCTTTCCGCTCTGGACTTCTTCATCTTGATCTTGGTGAAGACGTACAAGCTCCTGTCCGCGTCCTCGTCGAAGAACTTCCACGGTTCCTTCTCGTACACATCGAACTCGGGGATGAATCTGGAAAACGATAAATCCCCCCTCACCCTATGCGCAAGGTAATAGAAGAAGAGCTGTTCGTCGGACGGAGAAAACCGGTAACCGATGGGGAGCGTATCCGCCATGTTTCCACTCTCTTTCTCTCTCAGGAGCTATCTGAGACTCTTGAATTCGTAAGGGGGATGATCTTATGTTGCTCTCTAAAAAACGTTTTTCTTTTTTCTGATCTAATGCTTTCTCTCACGAACTATATAGCCCGATCGAAGGTGACGGTAATGCATAATTGCCGCTGGAGATAATTTCGGAATATGAAAAATAATGTGTTTTTTTTAGTGTAACGATCAACTAAACTAACTTGTATGCAATTTAAACGAACAAAATAAGCGACAAAAATCAGTTAAATATCCCCAAAGTTCAGGTTGAATCTTATCTTCCCCAAAGACGCGCCGTCCTTCCGCCTGGAGACCAATCCTTACATGATCACCAATTGCATTTAAACTTTACAGTTACGTTTTAGTGACTGATTTGCCGACTTTTATTTATACAATATGGAATGAATGCGAAAATCAACTGTCGTCCATAAATGGGAGTTGAAAATGTTAACAACTTATTAAAATTTTATAATGCCTGAGTGAATGGTAAATTTTACCACTTACTCTTACACTAAAAAAAAATAAATATCTTGTCATTACAAGACGAGCATTCACCAATTGAATAAAAATTACGATTTTTTTTTCATTCTCTCTCTACTAGTTGTCGGGCTTTGGGGATGGCCGGTAACCAGCTAAAGGCGATAACTGGTGACGGTTGCCCTCGCCAAATCCGAGGAGGTTAAGCCTTGTTACGGGCCAGTGAGGCCTGGCCTCGTCGGGATCGGGTGAGGGGCAACCTCGCCGGGATCGAGAGAGTCTCGCTTCGCCAGATTTGGTGAGGTCAAGCCTCCCATGAAGTTGGCAAGGTCGCCCCTCATTGGATCTCGGCGAGGGTGACCCTTGTTGGTCTTTGCCTGTGGCTGGTCGCCGGGCGCCAACCATAGCTAAGGCCCAACGACTGGTGAAGGAAGATGGAAAAAAAAGAAGGGAAAGGAAATGAAAAATATAAAAAATAAGAAACTGTCCATATCAGCGTCGGTCGTCTGCTAGCCATGTCACGTAGGACGGCTAACACCCACGTCAGCTATTTCCTGTCAAAATTGGATGGATTAGCTACATTGGCAAAATATCAAAATGTTTATGACTCAATTGATACAATTGAAATGTTGAAGACTGAATTGACATAAGTGCAATAGGTTTAAGATTTTTTTGGTGCTTTTCCTTTAGCTTAGGTTAAATTAGGCCTCTCTTGAGTATTTTACTCTTAACTTTTAAACTTTCCATAATTTTTGCGAAATTCACATTTTGGATTTAATTTAATCCGAGAAATACTTGAAACATTTGGAAATATTCAATTAAAAATGTGAGAAACATCATTAACTTTTTCGTAACTTGTATACTTAAGTTGCACGTGTCATCTTAGTTCCGGGTGAAATGTAAACCTTTCTTTCCATTTGGAGATAACCTTTCACAAATCATTTACCTTTCATTCCGAATGATAACTTGAATTCCTAATGAAAAATTGGGGGCACGAAAGGTTGTTTAACTTCATTCCTTGACCAATAATAACCTTTCACACATCATTTGACACCCAATTTTCCGTAAATATTCTTCATACGTTAACCATTTCTCAAAAATAAAAAAGGAAATCGTTGTGTTGATCAAGAGGATATATTGCAATAAGCTATGATCGGTCGATCACTTTTATTTGGTTAAGCTTTATGTTTTATGGGTAAATATATGAATTACCTAAGAGATTTCGACCTCGTGATACGCACGAGATACAATTTAGTGAAATAAAAATGACATTGTTTTGATTGAAAAATCATTTAATGAGACATTGATGGAGAGTAAATGTGTCAAATAGGTAAAAGTTTGAGATTTTTTATCTCATAAAAAAAGTTTAGGGTAAATGTGTCACAATGGGCATATTTAGAGTTTTTTTTTTTGTAATTTTTTCCCTTTTCTTTTTGGTTGGTGGAGTTCAATAATGAGAATGTCTTAGTCGACGACGGAAGGTAGATTTGCCTTCACACCATCTTTCATTGAGGAAAGATGCAGGGGATATAAAAACCGGTTTATAAATTTGGTTCATAAGTCCTCATTAGATTACGTGGAGCAAATTCGAGTACTAAATATGAGTAAATCACATTTTTTTTTATTTTTTTGGAAAGCCCCTTTTTGAATCTTTAGTTTGTTCTTCTTCTTTTAAAGTGCATACAACATAAATAATATTCAACATCCATCCAAGTTCAAACTCTCATTCAATAAGCTTACACAATTTAATGCTTAGAATTTGCTGCACAAAGAAAAAATGCAATTACTTTTCTTAGGATTTATATCACGAAAAATCCTAAACTGTAATATCTGTGACAAATTTACCTTCCGTTAAATTTCGTAAAATTTTGCCATTACAGTTGCAGACGTGGACAATGCTCAGTGACGTGGCAAGCCACGTGGACGGCGTTCGGTGACATGGCAAACCACATGGAGAGCCACGTGGAATAACTTAGTTTTTTTTTCAAAATAATAATAACTCAATTGATGTTTATTCAATTAGCTCATGTTCTCTCTTCATTATAACACAAAAAACCTAGCGACAAATAGGGTTCTGTTCATCTTCTCTGACATTCCCTCCGACAAAGTCCCTTCTTCCCATCGCCATTTCCACCTTGCTGGTCGCGGTCTTGAGTTTATTGCATAGGTTTCTTATTGTCAAGGTAGGAAAACGATAGCCCTCTATTTCACGTCGCATTCGAGGCTCTATGTTTCCGAGGACCTCCTCTTTTTCTTTTTTGTTGGATCTCTCAGCCATAACATTCTAATAGCATATCTGGTGGCTTCGCTCATTTTCGGTTTGTGTCAAACTTGGTCTTATGTTTCTATGTCTTGGCCCTAAATGATTTACTGCTTGTCTGCAAATCTCTTTATACGCTTACGTATTGCTCTTGCTTTGTTGGTCATTCGTGTTAGTTCATGCCCTCGTTAGCGTTCAGTGGCTTTCCAACGTTGAATCATACGTGTCAAAATTTTAACATGAAACTTGCACGTGAATGCTATGATTGACTTGTACACAACATGCCGGATGAAATGCCAAAACCAAATTCACTTAAGTGACAACCTTGACTCGTACGTGTGTCAAAATTTTAACATTAAACTTGCATGTGAATGGTATGATTGGCTTATACACAACATACCCGAAGAAATGCCAAAACCAAATTCACTTAAGTTTGTCACTGATTTCGGGTGTACTTTGAGTTTGATTCTACGTGTCTTATGGAGTTCACCTATTTGGCTTGTATGTAGAGCTAATCATCAATGAGAGTTAACTATAATAATAATAATGATGATGATGATGAGGAGGAGGAGGAGGAGAATCGCCGGACTAGGTAGTTTGCCTTTTTATATTGAGAACTCTTGATATAAATTCGATCTTGAGGTATAGCATTAAATAATAACATATTGTTTGATGAGAATGGGCAGAATGGAGAATGGAGAATGAATAACAATGGAACGGGATACTTTTCAGTGTAATCAACATCAAAATATGTAATTGGGATTCGAATGAAACATGTTAGCACTTATGAATGTTGCAAAATCACATCATCCAATATTCATCGATTGTAAGAGTTAATCCGGTTCTTGCAATGGACTATTTACATATTCTCGTAGATCTTTGCCGAACGATTACTCGAGTGCTTCTACCATCAAAGGGGCGAACTCTGATGCGGTAACATCACATGCTAGAGGCCATTCACCTAGTACGAAGCTGTCTTCGGGGTCCTCCCAGCCATTTGTCCAATCGAGATTGATGTGGTCAAGAAACCATTGAGAACCGTCGTCGTTAGTATTCTCTTCTGTGATTGGAAATGCAAGTGAATTTGCGTTTCCACCGGATGTCGCGATGCCCATGAAGCATTGCTCGATTGGCCTTTGTTCACTTACGAAACCCCTAATATGGAATACTGGTTGTGCACTGATTGCTAAGCACGGTTGAGATGCCAACGTGAAGGATTCCCCCTCTGAACCTGTGCAATACCATGGTTGCCGATCAACATGAGGACCCGAAAAGGGAGACATTGCTTCCGATGGTTCCATGTTGATGTCTTGGTGAGGCACATCGATGTTGCGGTTGAAGTCGGAAGATTCGTTGAGTCGGTGATCTTCTCGAGTTCTGACAGGCATGCTTAGGAAAATCGTAGTGCCTTGTTTTTCCCTGCTTTCTTCCTTCTTGAATCGGATTTTACATAGAACAATCTGCAATTTACATACCAAAGGAAACACTAAGGTGTTAAGAAATTTATGATTTTTTTCTATCAAATAAAGCAGGGAGAATAGGATCTAAACGGATTATATGAGTGCATTCTGCTAAACATGGCTTTCAAAGAATTTAAAACGAGAAAACAAAAAGATGACCAAATTGGCTTTCACGATTTACTCACCTGTTGAAACCCTAGGATAGAGAAACGGCACTATTATGATTCTACGGGTACAATAGCGTACGCAATATTATAAGAATAATTCTAACATGACAAAGACTAAGATATATTGGTTATACAAATATATTACGGTTCACTTGGCTTTGAAAATTGAATCTAAAAGAAAATAATCAGCTTTCTGGATTTTATTAGCATTAGGAACCCGAATATCTTATGTAAAATAACGAAACTGTTGTAATGGAAGAACTTCCACCAAGTTTCCAAGGTTCATTAGAGGCACTCATACGGTACGTAGAGACAAGGTAGACGTACATGGCAATAAATTAACGAAGGTAGAACAAGAGAATTTGACTCACTTCTTGCTTAAGCATGGAGTACTCGTGCATGATCCAAGATCCCTTTGCTGCGTTTTCGCGTTCGAAAGACGAGCCGTCTTTCGCTTTAAAGTTGAAGTGCTTCTTGTGGCCGACGATATTGCCCTGATGATCTTCGATGTCGGTGGTTTTCACCCCCTTCCAGAATCCCGACCCCGCCGTCCTTTCCGCTCTGGACTTCTTCATCTTGATCTTGGTGAAGACGTACAAGCTCCTGTCC